AGAGAGAGAGAGAGAGAGAGAGAGAGAGAGAGATCAAAAGAAGTAGGGCGTGCCACACATATAGGCCCCTTGTGGGCCCCGTGCTCCATCCATATGGGCTCCACGTGCTGGGCCCCATCAAAATTTGGCCTTCACACTCTCGTAAATTTTAGAAATAGAGAAATGATTTTTAGAAATCATTTAGGGCCAGTTTGGATGTCAAATAAAAAAACCTTCACATTGAAAAAAATCATAAGTTTCTTCATCTTGAATTTAGAAACATTGCCGTCTTTTTTTATTATTATACTGGGCTGTTTGGATGGAGTTAACATACTAAAAGCAAAGTCGCATTCTAGCCTTCCAAAATTCTCTTGCCAATCTAAAAGATTTTCCTGTATCTCTCGCAGCAGTAAACAATTTGCTTCCATACAATAAGCAAACTTGCAACCCGAGCTTCTCCTTATTCATGAAGAGAAGGGGTTTCCCATGGGTGTGGTATGAGAGAAAAGGCTCGACTTTTGTTGAGAGAGAAAAGACCCGTCTTTTGTTGAGAGAAAAAAGGCCTTGGCCTTACAAAAATGCCGCCTAGGGCTGCCATGGATGGGGCTTGAACTCCTCTCGTTTTTGCAACCTGAGCTTCTCTTTATTCATGAAGAGAAGGGGTTTCCCATGGGTGTGGTATGAGAGAGAAGGCTCACCTTTTGTAGAGAGAGAAAGGGCATTGGCTTTACAAAGACGCCGCCTAGGGCTGCCATAGATGGGGCATGAGCTTCTCTGGTTTTTTGCAACCCGAGCTTCTCTTTATTCATGAAGAGAGAGGGCTTCCCATGGGTGTGGTGTGAGAGAAAATGCTCACCTTTTGTAGAGAGAAAGGGTCTTGGCCTTATAAAGACGTCGCCTAGGGCTGTCATGGATGGGGCTTGAGCTTCTCGGGTTTTCTTAGAGAGACAAAATGAAAATGCTCTGTTAATTCAGACAGAGAGAGTAGATTTGGGGTTTCTTAGGTTTCACGGAGTTGTTGGGTCATGGGTTGAGGTTTGTGCAGGGGTGAGAGGGCTGCACTTTCATAAAAAAAAATTCAATTTTGACTTGAATGTTTTTTTACGATAACT